AAGTAGACCAGGCTGGCCTTGAACTTGTGATATAGTTGAAACTCCTGATCCCCCTGCCTTAGCCTCCTGAGTGCAGGAATTATAGGCATTTTGCACCTGGCTAGGACAACCGCCCCCCCCCAAAAAAAATTTTTTTTTTTTAAGTTTCAAGACTGGTTTATTTGCTTCTCTGTCGGGCTCATTGTATGTACCATATTTGTACTCCAGTGACCTGAAGATTCCATGTAACTTGTATGTATACACATGAATAGGTTAAATGCCAACATTTTCAATAATTTGATAAAGTCTTTATAGCCACTCAGTCACCTCTGGTACATGTTTGTGTGTTTTGTGGAAGGAGGGGTCAGAAGACGCAGCCCTGAGGGCCGCAGGTGGGTGAGGGAGCTCCGGAGCTCCACCAGGGGTCCGGTGAGGGTGGGGGTTCCAAGAGCAGGAAGCTTCTAGCTGGTTCGTAGGCACAGGGCCCTTGTGAGGACAGCCCTGGAGCTGGCTGCCCACAGCTCCTTGCACCAGGCAGGAGAGGTGCACACTGAATGCTGATGCTGCCTCCCAACATCTGGCGGGCATCTTGTCTGCCTCTCAGACCCAAGCAACTTACCTTAAATAGAACGGTTTACAAAGGAATCCGATAAAAAGGTTTAGGCTGTTCCACGCCCTCTCTTGCTTGCCTGAGGAAGAATGAGGGGGCTGGGTTTGCGTTCTGACCTCCCCAAATGACCTGCCCAGGAAGCAAGGGTTGTTTGGAGCACAGCTGCTGTACGTTACTGTCCCTGGGGGCAATTTGTGAGCAGATACCCAGTTCCCCGGGCCCAGCAGACACAGTGGGGTGGCCCCGGGGAGATTGGAGGGACCAGGATCTGAGGCACAGTGGGTCACCACGCCTGCTGTTCGCGGAGAGTCACCCACGGGCGTCCCGGGAGAGGGGGCAGAAGTTTTGAGTTGTCAGCAAGTGCTGCGCCAGGCGCTCTGAGCTCATCGCTGGAGGTGGGGTGCCGGAGAGGGGGCGCGGAGCCCCTCGCTCCCCTCCCGTGCGGCCTGTGTTTAGTCAGCACTTGGCTGCTGGAGCTGGTGACTGACAGGCAGCCAGCCGCCTGCCCTGGCAGAAGACAAAATGGTGTCGGAGCCGCCCTTGGAGGGACGGGAGGGAAGGAGTGTTCTGGGAAGCTGAAGGCCCTCGCCTGGATGCCGGCTCCGCGGCTGCCACTTGGAAGCCTTGACCCTGTGCGGATCGTCCCACCTCCTGGAATTATTCATCTTAGGGAAAATGGGCATTTACTGGGCGCCCACCACCTGCTATAGGCAGCATATGCTTAGTTTTGAAGGCATGAGCCCCCCATTTGACAAGAGGTGAAGCAGCGAGTTGCCTACACCCTGCCCGCGGTGCCATTTATTTACCCCGGGGAGTGCCGGTGTCTAAGGTCTCAGCTCTTATCGGCCTCACCCACTCCTCCCATGCTCAGTTTTACAGGTGCAATAGCAGGTGAGGGTTATTTTTGCTCTTTGAAGTCAAGCAAGCTTGACTGAGGGCGCAGCTGTCTTCGACCTTTGGAGGGGAAGTAGCCTGTGCCCTTGGCTACTGAGAACAACGAGGGTTCCCCTCGGTGTGGGTTCCACGTGGGCGGACCCTGCCCTGTTCACACGTGCACATGTTCATTCACACACATTTTCCGTGAGCTAGCACACAGTCCGGGCCCAGGAATACATGTACACGTTGTGTGCAGAGCTCTGCTCTTGTGCAAAACAAGGACACAAGTCAGCACACAGCTACAGGAGCTGGCATAATTGCAGGCACATCTCACAGCCCTCCAGAGCCTCGGTGCTGGCTGGCTGCCTCGGCCAGTAGCTCACTGCCCCCTCCTGGCCACCTTTTCACCCGGGCAACCTGGCACCATTTCCTGAAGTTCTGCTCAGGGTGACTGGCAACCTGTTCCCACCTAGACTGTGGGTCAAGAGCAATTTCTGCCCACCCATCCCCCAAGGCCTGGGGGGACACCAGAGGAGGCTCTTGAAGCTTAAGGACACAAACAGCCTGAATATCCTGAGGAACCAAAAGTAGAATTTCAGTCCTGTGCAACAGGAGGGCAGATACCCTCCCAGGCAGGCACCCCGCCCTGCCCTAGGGAACTGCACACATGCTCTCACAGGCGGTGCAGAGGTGCAGCTTCCTTGCTGACCATGCAGAGCTCCTCCAGCTCAAAGCTCTGTTTTCTGTCTGGGCCTGCACTTCCTCTACTCAGCAAGGAGTTGAACCTGATACTGGGCTCAGCGGCTCCTCTATGGTGTTTCTCCGGCTCTGCAAACAGTAACATTCCCAGATGTGTGCCTGAGGAGAGCACATCCGTAAAGGATTCAGGCGAGCCGACTCTTCCGGACAGACCTGACAGGACTGCCCACATAAAGTCTTTGATTCCTAGTGTGCAGATGTGGAAAGGCACAGAAAGGTGTAGCAACTTGCGCAGAGTCACACAGCAAACTGGCATCAGATGTTGGGATGGAAACCTTGCCAATGCTTCAGAGAACACAGCACCTTGTGAGCTTGGGCCCAGAGCTAAGGAGACTGGAGCCGAGGGGTCAAGTGGGAAAACACTGGCAGGTCCTTATGGCTCTCTGAAGACTTAGGGGAAGCCCAGAGGAAGTTCTGCACTTGGGCATCCAGCAGGGAGGTTGGGAACATGCAACTTGGAATGTGTGGGTT